AGTTGGACTCCCCCTACCTAGTTGGACTCCCCCTACCTAGTTGGACTCCCCTACCTAGTTGGACACCCCCTACCTAGTTGGACCCCCCTACCTAGTTGGACACCCCCTACCTAGTTGGACTCCCCATGTCATGTCTGCCCGGGAATCGTTGAACATGTCCCAAAGGGGACGTCGATCAAGGTCAACTGCCTGAAAAAGTTGCACAGCAGGTTTCCGATCGTCACCGTATGCCGGGGATTCCCGGAACCGTGCAACACACGCAGTGCGCATGTTTGAGCACAAACAAGCGCACACAATGCAATTGCGGCGACTGTGCTGCCAACCTCATGACATTCTCGGATTTGCTTGAGGTACCTAAAAAAAATGACACACACCTAGAACCTCTTCTGGTATTTCTGCCTATTATGGGTGGAAATGATTGCCTAATGAGGTTCTAGGTCTTCCCCGGACATGGGATTTACCCAGTCCGGGACAATCAAAGACGCCCTTGGATTTCAAGTCGTCCTTCCCTCCGGGACTGAGTTTCCGGGACCCAGTCCCTTTCCCTCCTTGGGCCAACCAAGGATGGACCAAGAATCACTCTCCCTGGAACAAACATGGAAGTGGAAATGTCAGAGCTCTCCAAAAATTATTCAGAGTCCTTATAGATCTTATGAGCCCATAGTGGTACATATGGGATGGCGAAAAAAGAGCCGCTCAAGCCTCTTTAGGCAGCTTGACATGCTTTGAATGGACTGGTGACTGCACTTCGTTCCGCAAAGCCCTCTCCGGGCCGGTTCCGGGCGCGCGATTTAATGGGATTGAGGGTGAGGTCCTGGGGAGAGCAGGTGTGGGGCCCATCGAGCCGGCCAGGATGGGCACGAACCTATCCAAGGGTGGGGGGGGAAAGAACTGGAGAGATCGGAGCTCCACCGATGGTTTTTCGGAACCACCTCCCTTGCAACCGGATTGAAACCCTATGGTTTGGTTACCATGCGTGTGACTAGACCATTGGCCTGACCCTCTCAACCCCTCCATCCGCGCCAATCGGAATGCGGAGAGGCCCGGGACTGACGCCCAGGTTCCTGCGCGCACAGGTGCACAACTACCAGGGGCCCCACAAACCATCAAAAACCTACCTGGTTTTTGTATGTGATACCCTTATTTTTCATGGTTTTGAGGGCCCCTGGCACTGACTACCTCATTCCAGGAGATGCTCCGTGTGTGCCAAGTGCACCAGCTGCTTCACAAAGCTTGGGTTGGTCAACACCAAGCCTCTCTTCTCCTGGAGCGGCGAGCAGCGGTGATCAGGTTGTGCGCGTGTCGCTCTCGCCGGGCCGTCTAGTACACCGCTCCAGCACCGTCCAGTCGCTCTCTCCCAGTCTTTCTCTCTTCGGCGGTCTGAACACATGGTTCCACGCACACCTCTTCTACCTTGGCCATGAGGGATACACCTGTTGCAAGAACATGTTTGAGGTGGGCACTTCCAGCTATGAAACATGGTACTGCATGTACATCCTTGGCCTTTGGTCTTCACCAGGTCTCAGTTCACTCGATCCGTTCCAGCCAGCAGTTCGCATGCACAGCCGCGCCCCGTTCTGCCCAGCGTCCACCATGAGGCGGATGGCTTTCACCAAAGGGATCCGTTCCTTGTAGACCAAGTAGGCCTAAGACCATGGCCAGGTGGGGAGGTGAAACCGGGCGAAGCAAGAGTCCCCCAATGCCAGGGGATTCACCCAGAGAACCTGCAACTCAAAACCATCGCACTAGCTTGGGACAACTTGGGCCAGGTACCGGGAAAACTTGTGTTTTTTCACCATTTAGTTTCTAAAAACAAACACCCACGGGGACAATCAAAATCACCTTAAGCAAAAGCAGGCTAGGCAACACTTGCTTTACTCATCTTTACTCCATGGAAACGGACGGATGTTATGGGGGAGGTAGGTGGAGATGATGGAACAAGAGCTGCCAGCAAATCCATGCAAACTAGGAGTGTATAGGATATGTAGTGTATGGAACATGGTTCACCATTCCTTTCCGCCCACAAACTATGAATCAGTACATGACCAGCAGTTGGCCTGGGACGCTTCAAATGTACATTGCGAAGGTGGCATCCAAGATTCCAATAATTTATCCAAGTCAGTGGCACCTCGAAGAGGCTAAGAACAAGTGGACACCTCCTGAACTTGGCACCGTTTATTAAAACTAAAAACCCCTACACATCAACAATTACCTGACCCCCATGCCGGGATCTAAACCGTACTCTCATCTTCCTTCGTGTCGCCGAACAAGCCGAAGGAAACCGGGGACAAGTAGGGAGTGAGAATGGAGGCACCCAGCGTTTGAAAAACATCTGCACAAGCGATCGCGCACCAGGATGGAGTTCTCTTGAAAAAGGACAGCCCGGGACCCTGCAACGTCCTCATGTTGACGTGGGAAAGACCATGAAATCCGAGTACAAGCCAGGTGGTGCCACCCACTTCCATGTTTGTTGGAGGGAGGGTAGCCCTTGGTTACCGGTGGAGCAAGGCGGCATCATGATTGCGATACGAGAACGAATCAATGTACCCAACCAACTGGAGACGTGGAACACCAGCGAAGTCCAACACGTGGAACACCTAATTAAGCGTTCCAACATCTTCAAACCGACAGCTTGCTCTGCTCTGGCAAAGCTGTACAGAAGGACCGTGTTGGCCGAGCTGGATCGTTCGTTCACGGCGCTTCGCTGCTTCGCCCCAGGTGCCGCGCACAAGCCGGCGCTGCGGTTCATGCCCGCCTGGAGCGGTGCGGACGTGACCGGACGGAGCGAGTCGGCATGAAATCACCGTCGGTGTAGTGCCCCAAAAGCGAAAACAGCTGCCACACCCTGCAAAAATGAACCCCCCACCATAGACCCCTAAATAGGAACAAATATTGGTGGACAGCTCGCTGCACCAGCACCCACGTAGACATCTGGCAGCAACCACCCTGCAGCGGCACCCAAGGGGCACCACCATACTAGCTCCAAGGGGCAAAGAAGCACCTCGATTGAAGTAAGAACCCCAATAGCACCTCGCTTCTAGAGGAAACAACACTCCAATGGAGTCTCCATGTATACTAATTACATGGTATGTTTGAAAACTCGCAACATGCCTTGTTGGGGGGGTCAATGAGGTCCCATTGTTGGTTCATCGGATGAGTGGTTGTTGCGAAAAAGCGCGGATCGTGCCGGCGGAGGTTGTTTTCCCGGCAGGGCCTGGCAATGCACCAGCGTCTTAGTGTTGTAGGCTTTGGAGTGCGAGACAAAGTGCTCGAACTCTGCGAAGTGCTTCTCCAGC